CATAGAAATGATTTGTGAGGCTGAGGCAGGACCAGTCAGTGTTCATTTCGTTCTGTTGTATATACAGTTGCTATGAATTGGAACTGACTAGGCAGCATCTAATACAATACCAGTATTCCAATATACCATGGTATGTGGTATTCAATGGGTCTTATACATTGAATGGCTTCAAAACCTACACTTAAACCTGCTCCCCAAAATTTCTTTCTGTTTCATCTAAGTTTTTAATCAATTAAAGAAATTTCCCTCCTGCTTTCCCAAACTTTGGAACTACCATCTTATGAGAGAAATGAACAAATGTCCCAATGCTCTGTTTTCTCCATCTCCAAATGGGTGGAACACTCCTGTCATGTTAAATCAGTAAGCTATTGAGCCTGGGACCAGGAAAATCCATGGGAAATATGAGTGGAAGACCCATTTTTAGGAGTCCTGGTGTGGCGCTGTGGGCTAATGCGTCAGACTGCAAAGTCATATGCACTGCAAGGTTGGTGGTTTAAGCTCACCAGTTGATCCTTGGAAACCCTATACAAGGGTCAGAATCAACTCAACAGCACTTAACAACAACAAGTTTCTAGCAGGTGGGATGGAACCTGCAGTTTAGTGTAATGTCACAAGCTCTCTAGGGTCTGACACAATGTGCTGGGTTGTGGTATTACCCAGCTTTCCTTCATCTTTGGTTTATTTTATGTTTGTTCACTAAATTAAAAGCATGCATAGTCACTTAAGTAACCTCCCAAATTTCCATGTAGTGGAGCCTTTCTTTTTCTAAAATGATGGAGTGCAGTCTGCGAAGAAGAAGAATCATTGAAGTAGGAGTATGAGCTTTTCAAAAAGCATCCAGGATTTCAGATCTGCAATGAGCAAGGTTCTGTAAATAAAACACACTGCAACCCAGAAGAGGATGAAATTTGGGGTGGATAAAGAGTTATAGAAACTTCACCTTCATTTTTGGTAACTCAGGAGGGTAACAGGTGGTATGAGACTTTGAATATGGATGTCTGATAAAATTTAGGTTTCTCATAATATGGACTTTACATTTTCTCTCAGAATAAAAGCCAAATTATTCACTTAAGCTATGGGACAAGTTTTATAACTTCAATATTTCTTTGTATCATATAAAATAAATAAGATAAGTTTTCCAAGAAACAATGGAGTACCTTTGTTATGAATTCATGTCTTCTCACAGTAGTGATTTATCAATTTTCCTCCTCTGGACTGCCCCAGGACACTTCAGTGATCACCCCACTGTTTCTCAGTTTGGTTCACAATTAATTAGAACTATACAGCCAAAAAAAAAAAAAACTAAACAATAACTCAGAAACATAATTCGCTCTGAGCAAAAACTTACCAGGAAGTTCCTAAAATCTGATCTTGGTTTTGTACCTTTTT